TGAGTAATCTGAATAGCATTGGTATTGTCACAATACATGGGGATAGAATTAGATAAACTGATGTCAAGTTGAGCAAATAACCATCGTAAACAGACTATCTTAGATGAGGATGATGCCAAAACACNGGATAGAATTAGATAAACTGATGTCAAGTTGAGCAAATAACCATCGTAAACAGACTTAGATGAGGATGATGCCATAACGCGGTGCTCAGCTTCAGTAGAAGAACGAGCAATTACCGTTTGCTTCTTGCTTTTCTAAGATATAAGAGAATCACCAAGAAAGAGACAGAAACCAGTAGTGGACTTGCGATCCATTACGTCGCCAGCCCAATAAGCATCCGAGTAAGCCCTAAGTTCCATGGAAGAGGAAGATGGAAATAAAAGATTTTGATGCAGAGTACTTTGAAGATATTGAAGAATACGTAGAACGGCAGCTTAGTGAACAATGGTAGGTGAGACAACAAATTGGCTCACAATATGAACATAATAAGAGATATTTAGGCGGGTAACAGTAAGATATATTAGACTCTCAACAACATAGGGTAGGATTAGGCAACAGAATGTCATTAGCAGAAGAATATTGAACATTAAGCTCTAAAGGTGTCTTAGTTTTTCGATTATCTGATAAACAAGCTTGTTGAATAACATCCAATGCATACTTGGATTGAGATAGAAGATAACTTTTGGGAGAAGAAGTAACTTTAATTCTCAAAAAATACCGAAGCTGACCCAAGTCTTTAATTTCAAAATGAACTTGCAACTGATTTTTCAATAGTTGTATGTTAGTAGTGTCATAATTAGTAATAATTATATTATCAACATAAAGTAAGAAAATAATAAAACTTACTGAAGCAGATCGCAAAAAAAAGGGCGGATCATGATCGCTGGCATGAAAACCCAAATTACAGATGATAGAAGAAAACTTGACAGANTTTTCAATAGTTGTATGTTAGTAGTGTCATAATTAGTAATAATTATATTATCAACATAAAGTAAGAAAATAATAAAACTTACTGAAGCAGGTCGCAAAAAAAAGGGCGGATCATGATCGCTGGCATGAAAACCCAAATTACAGATGATAGAAGAAAACTTGACAGACCATGCTTTAGGAGCTTGTTTAAGACTGTATTATGCCTTGTGGAGTTTGCACACCTAACTCGGACTATAAGGTAATCCAAGAGGAGGAGCCATAAATACTTATTCGGTCAAATCTCCATTTAAAAAGACATTTTTTACATCCATCTGAGAGAGACGATTGATGGAAAGTAGCTACTGTAATCACAGTGTGAATTGTGGTCATCTTAGCAACAGAAGCAAATGTTTATTCATAATCTATACCATACTCTTCAGTAAACTCCTTGGCTATCAAGCGAGCCTTGTATCATTCCATAGAATCATTAGATTTGGTGTTAATTTTATAAACCCATTTACAACCAATTGTGTATTTGCTAGATGGTAATGACACCAACTCCCATGTACAAGTCTTATGTAAATCAAAAAGTTCCTCATCCATAGCCAGTTTCTAAAGAGGATCAAGAACAACCTCCTTATAAGCAGTAGGGTCAGAAAGAGTGTATAGAAGCTAAAAAAGTACAAAAATAATAGAATAACAAGAGTTAGAGAAACCAAACCGATTTGGATATTTACGAGGGCGCTGAGGATAATGACGTACATGANAAGCTAAAAAAGTACAAAAATAATAGAATAACAAGAGTTAGAGAAACCAAACCGATCTGGATATTTACGAGGGCGTTGAGGATAATGACGTACATTANGCAGTAGGGTCAGAAAGAGTGTATAGAAGCTAAAAAAGTACAAAAATAATAGAATAACAAGAGTTAGAGAAACCAAACCGATTTGGATATTTACGAGGGCGCTGAGGATAATGACGTACATGATCCACATTGTCAGAACTTGGTGGAGTGACAATAGAAAAGGGAGGCACTACAATTGTAGAAGATACAACTTGAGTCCAATGAGTATAAGTATGTACAATAGGGGACGAGTGATTGACAAATCAAAAGAAGGCAAATTAGAGACAACCATATCACCAGCAAAAGTGCCACATCAGTAGGAAATTGGTCAATATAAATAAGATAANTTGACAAATCAAAAGAAGGCAAATTAGAGACAACCATATCACCAGCAAAAGTGCCAGAGGGAACATCAGTAGGAAATTGGTCAATATAAATAAGATCAGATTTATCTAAATATGAGGAACTACAGGGAATAGAAAAGAAGGGAATATGTTTCATGAAAACAACATGACGAGAGATATAGAGTTTGTGTACAATAGGATCATAAAAATGATACTCTCTTTATAACCAAGTAAAACAAAGAGCTGAACGAGCAGAAAATTTAGTACGAAGGGCACTAGGAAGTAAAACAAAACAAATACATCCCACCACATGTAAGGAGAAATAATCAGGTGGGTTACAACATGAAAAAGGGAGATATTCCAGAGGTGATGAGAGTGAGAATGCAATTAATCAGATGAACCACAGTAAGAAGTGCTTTCTCCTAAAAATAACTTGGGATATTTGCAGATAGTAAGAGAGCGTACTGTTTCCGTAATATGTTGGTGTTTGCATTCTGTTACACCATTCTATTAAGGTGTGTGGATACAAGAAGATTGACAACCAGTGCTATTTGATTTTAACAAATCACGAAAAGAATTAAAAGAATATCTCATCCTTGGTTGCATCGAAACCATTTAATAATACTGGAATATTGAGTGCATATCATAGTACGAAAAACAGTGAATACATAGAAAAATTCATAACGATTCTTCATTAGATAGATCCAATAGTATTTGATATTAAGAGACATAATATCTAGACATTTCTTTTGTGGGAACAGGAATAGGTCTCCATACATCAGAATTAACTAGATCAAAAGGTGCAAGAGATCTAATAGGACTTTTATTGAAAGGTAATGCACTAAATTTAGCTACACTTGCATCCACAACAACTTGAAATGTCATGACACTCTAAGTTACCCAAACTACCAATAGAGGTTAAAAATTTCAAACGAGAATGAGAAATGTGATCAAGACGAGAATGCTACAAATAAAAATTAGAAAATTGTGGACTCAAATGAAAGGAAGATAAATCAACATTAGAGACAACAATATTTGGAACATGCAAACTCATTTAACACATACAACCCTATTTTTTTACTGCTTGTTCCAATCAGCTTCTTGGAACGTGGATGCTACACAACACAACCAGAAGAATAAAAGTGAACTAAAAATTCAGAGTCAAATAATTGACTAAATGAAATTAAATTTAAAGTAAGATGTGGAATATAATAAACATTGGGAAATGTTAGTTGCGGAAAAATAATAGACCCAACTTTGGCCAATAGCATTCGAGTACCATTGTCTGCAAACACAAATATAGAGGGAGAAGAGAAGGTAGAGGCAAATAAGGAAGAATCACTGTTTATGTGATATGTAGCACCAGAGTCAAAGAACCATGCGGTTCGAGATAAACCTGTATGACCGGAAGTGAACGAACCAGCCATAATTTCCGAAAACGATAATCGAATCTTCTGAACCAAATCCAAAACACAAGAACTAACACTAGGGCTAGCAACCAACAAAATTCAAAGAAATTAAAGCCAGGAAGAAAGCAAGAGCCCAAATGCTAATATAAGCATCTGGCCATCAACAAGCCAACAACCCAACAAGTCAAACCAGCTAACCTCCAAATCCCTGCAGGACACACCAAAGCTAGGAGAAGGCTCAGCAAACACCAAGTGAAGGCCCACCAAATTAAGGCTCAAATAGAAAATAAATAACCCAAACAAGAACAAGAGCCCAAAAGCCCAACACCTATTATTTTCCAGTAAGCCCACAAAAAAAGGCCAACAAAACAACCCACAACAAAGCCTTCAAAAAATCAGTCCAAACCCAGCACCTATTATTATCCAGTAAACCCACAACCAAAACCCAACAAAGCAGCCCACAATATATCCAACAGAATCCAAACACCAGCCGAAAGAATACAACTATCAGCAGAATCCAAAGGACCAGCCGAAAGAATACAACATCAGCAGCAGCACTGTGAAGTAGATCACAACACCAGCAGCCAACAAATTTCCAAGGACAAATCAGCCAAGAAACTAGCAACCCAGCATGTAAACACCAGAAATTAGCAGTAGGAAGAAGAGACCAGAACAGCCGAAGAACAGGTGGGCAATAACAAGTCCAGCCGAGCCCCAGATGAGCAAGAAACCAAACCAAATCACATAATAGGTTATCAAAGAGACCTAGTCGGCATTAGAACAAAAAAAATTTGAAAGAGCCCTCGAATTTACAGTCCCACGAAAATTCGATGTATTTCTCCAAAATACTCGAAAAATAAAAACACCTACCAAATGAGCTTGAAATTGAAAACAACACTCCATTGACAAGCCCATGAATTTTCGGTCAAGATGATAATGATCCCATCACGATGATGTCATCATCCCGATGATGACATCAGCCACTGTTTTTGCCAGAAAATTCCCCGCTGAATTCTATAATTTGTTATTTGAATTTAGAGATCATAACCTTTCCGGATACCATGTTAGATATGATCCAAGAAACAAGAAANGAAAATTCCCCGCTGAATTCTATAATTTGTTATTTGAATTTAGAGATCATAACCTTCCCGGATACCATGTTAGATATGATCCAAGAAACAAGAAAGAGAAGTTTATTAAGGCACACTGAGCCTGTTCAAGAACATAAAACCAAGCATACATAATAGAGAACCTTGTATAGTAGGGCAACATAAAATATGGTAAATGACTAAATTAGCCCTTATAACAAATATGCTAGACTACTCTAACATACTAACAGTCACAAGTTCAAATGGCGCGTGGGTGGGACGGTTTTCTGTTGTTAATAAAAAGTCTGCAAAATACTAAAAATGTCACTTATTTGTTTAGTTCTAGTCAAAATGATTGGCTTTTGCTTAATTAATATGGTAATCAAACTTGTCATGAATACAGATGTTCATTGGGGATGGAGCAAAACTTGTTCGTGATGCTTTTCAGCTTGCAAAAGAAAAATCTCCTTGTATCATTTTTATAGATGAAATTGATGCAATTGGCACAAAGCGTTTTGATAGGTATGCAATATCTCTGTTTCATGTGTGGTTACCTGATTTCAATCTGCTCTGGCCACTTTTTTAATAATGATTTGAGTTTTTGTATGGCATACTAACTGGATCTGTGTTACTTTCGGAAAAAGTACCATTGGGATTACATCTTAACCAACCTAAGTAATATAAAATCTTGTCTTCTATTGCAGTGAGGTTAGTGGGGATAGAGAGGTCCAACGGACAATGTTAGAATTACTCAATCAGCTTGATGGATTTAGTAGCGATGACCGGATAAAGGTATTTTTCTGGGCCCGTTTAATTGAATATGTATTTGTCTGTAGTTGTTCTGAGGTTATGGTGAACACTTTGTTGTTAAATCATTTAATTGACAGTGTTATTGGCTGCTGATCTGTGGTAAGTGCCTACATTTTTACAGTTTATATGTTTGTTGGATGATTGAAGTTAATTTTAGCAACCGCTAATGACTGCCTACAATCAACGGTTCTCCTTGTGATCTTGAGATTGCCAGTTGAATTTTTTGGTAATTTTTTAAATTGCAGGTGATAGCAGCAACAAATCGAGCTGATATTTTAGACCCTGCTCTCATGCGATCTGGTCGACTAGATCGTAAAATTGAGTTTCCCCATCCCACGGAAGAGGCCAGAGCTCGAATCTTGCAGGTCTACGTTTCAAAAGGCCTATTCAAACTTCATGCATTAAATGAGGATTGACTTTTAGGCAAAAGTTATTGATTTATTTGCATTGAATGGCAGATCCATTCCCGAAAAATGAATGTTCACCCAGATGTTAATTTTGAAGAGCTGGCTCGTTCCACGGACGATTTTAATGGTGCACAACTGAAAGCTGTTTGTGTGGAGGCAGGCATGCTAGCTCTTCGCCGTGATGCCACTGAGGTCTCTCTTTCTCTCTCTCCCCCCCACCCCCCCCGCGCCTCACATGTGAGTGTGTGCATGTGCCTTTTCTTTATGTGAGGACACAGATGCATGCTTGTATGGTGAATTTTGTACTAAATGTCTAATAGAAATGTGTGCATGTCAAAGACCAACACAAACCAAATTCTCCTCAGCGTGCTATTGCACATTCCTTGGAGGTTTATGGTTCTCCATGAGAGAATGAGCGAACCCAGTTGTCAACATTTTTCTTAAAGACCTAGAATAATTACGAACATTAATATTACTGATTGGAAAACTGCACGTTTTGGTCTCATTTCACTTAGAGTGGAACCTGGTGATGTGTGGTTGGAAATGAGAGTTTACCTTGGCATATTTACAAAAGGGGTGACACCCTTTAAGTTCGGACAAAGCATGGAGCCCTTGACAATTGATAAATACTACAGGAACCCTCTGGATTTTGTATTGTAAAGTTTTGTTCGAAATTCCAAATATGCCGCTACTTCCATTTTTTTGGGGTATATTACAGATCAAAAAATTATGGGGTATAATGGTAATTTCATGCACATTTCTTGGAACTTTGACTAGGGTTCTCATGCCATTTTCTCAAATCTCACGAGGAATCTATTTTGTATTGTCAAATATCATTGTGTCAACATAACTTACCCTTACCAAAATGTTTCCAAGCAAGGATGGACATTATTCAAAGCTCAATTTCTGGCAACTATGAATCCTATGCCATAATTTTTCACACCAACAAACACCCACACCAATGCATGGCGAGAATGTACATGCATCTTATGCTTATCAAGAGAGCAAGAATTGACACAAACATTGGCTTGGTCGTTTCCAGGTGAATCACGAAGACTTCAATGAAGGTATCATCCAAGTTCAGGCTAAGAAGAGAGCAAGCTTAAATTACTACGCATAGATTTTTATCTGTGATGTGTTGTGCTAGTTTGGGCCAGGAACTTTGAAGCCATCTGCGTGTCTGTTTGTGTGTGTGGTGCTATAGGTTTTTAGGGTGATCCGTGTGGGCTGTATATATATATTTTTTTTTGGGGGTGGGGGGAAGACCCGAGGGGTTTGTTGGCATTTGTATTTTTGTAAGAGATTCAGCTCAATCTTATGCAGATTTTGAGAGCACAAATGATACTACCTTGTCGGTGGAAATCCCTTTTACCACCTATGTCACTAGTAATTTTAGTGCAAGTTTCATTTTGGTTAGGCCTCACCAAAGAGCCCAGATTCTAATGGGTCGCTCACGATCCCTACACATGGTAGGGCTTGGATAGCCCGCTAGCTTGGTGGGTAGGGCTTGGACCCTTTTTTTCAAAGGCGGGGGCCTGGCGAGTTGGCCTGTTAACTTGCGTGTTAGTTCGTCCATTAACCTAATAGAATATATCCATTGGAATATAATCATTGAGTTGACCATTATTTTTGGAAAATTATAGATTCTTTCTCCCTTTAGGGACTTTCCCTTAATTTAAAATAAANGAACTTTGACTAGGGTTCTCATGCCATTTTCTCAAATCTCACGAGGAATCTATTTTGTATTGTCAAATATCATTGTGTCAACATAACTTACCCTTACCAAAATGTTTCCAAGCAAGGATGGACATTATTCAAAGCTCAATTTCTGGCAACTATGAATCCTATGCCATAATTTTTCACACCAACAAACACCCACACCAATGCATGGCGAGAATGTACATACATCTTATGCTTATCAAGAGAGCAAGAATTGACACAAACATTGGCTTGGTCGTTTCCAGGTGAATCACGAAGACTTCAATGAAGGTATCATCCAAGTTCAGGCTAAGAAGAGAGCAAGCTTAAATTACTACGCATAGATTTTTATCTGTGATGTGTTGTGCTAGTTTGGGCCAGGAACTTTGAAGCCATCTGCGTGTCTGTTTGTGTGTGTGGTGCTATAGGTTTTTAGGGTGATCCGTGTGGGCTGTATATATATATTTTTTTTTGGGGGTGGGGGGAAGACCCGAGGGGTTTGTTGGCATTTGTATTTTTGTAAGAGATTCAGCTCAATCTTATGCAGATTTTGAGAGCACAAATGATACTACCTTGTCGGTGGAAATCCCTTTTACCACCTATGTCACTAGTAATTTTAGTGCAAGTTTCATTTTGGTTAGGCCTCACCAAAGAGCCCAGATTCTAATGGGTCGCTCACGATCCCTACACATGGTAGGGCTTGGATAGCCCGCTAGCTTGGTGGGTAGGGCTTGGACCCTTTTTTTCAAAGGCGGGGGCCTGGCGAGTTGGCCTGTTAACTTGCGTGTTAGTTCGTCCATTAACCTAATAGAATATATCCATTGGAATATAATCATTGAGTTGACCATTATTTTTGGAAAATTATAGATTCTTTCTCCCTTTAGGGACTTTCCCTTAATTTAAAATAAANCCCCCCCCCCCCCCCCCCGCGCCTCACATGTGAGTGTGTGCATGTGCCTTTTCTTTATGTGAGGACACAGATGCATGCTTGTATGGTGAATTTTGTACTAAATGTCTAATAGAAATGTGTGCATGTCAAAGACCAACACAAACCAAATTCTCCTCAGCGTGCTATTGCACATTCCTTGGAGGTTTATGGTTCTCCATGAGAGAATGAGCGAACCCAGTTGTCAACATTTTTCTTAAAGACCTAGAATAATTACGAACATTAATATTACTGATTGGAAAACTGCACGTTTTGGTCTCATTTCACTTAGAGTGGAACCTGGTGATGTGTGGTTGGAAATGAGAGTTTACCTTGGCATATTTACAAAAGGGGTGACACCCTTTAAGTTCGGACAAAGCATGGAGCCCTTGACAATTGATAAATACTACAGGAACCCTCTGGATTTTGTATTGTAAAGTTTTGTTCGAAATTCCAAATATGCCGCTACTTCCATTTTTTTGGGGTATATTACAGATCAAAAAATTATGGGGTATAATGGTAATTTCATGCACATTTCTTGGAACTTTGACTAGGGTTCTCATGCCATTTTCTCAAATCTCACGAGGAATCTATTTTGTATTGTCAAATATCAGTGTCAACATAACTTACCCTTACCAAAATGTTTCCAAGCAAGGATGGACATTATTCAAAGCTCAATTTCTGGCAACTATGAATCCTATGCCATAATTTTTCACACCAACAAACACCCACACCAATGCATGGCGAGAATGTACATACATCTTATGCTTATCAAGAGAGCAAGAATTGACACAAACATTGGCTTGGTCGTTTCCAGGTGAATCACGAAGACTTCAATGAAGGTATCATCCAAGTTCAGGCTAAGAAGAGAGCAAGCTTAAATTACTACGCATAGATTTTTATCTGTGATGTGTTGTGCTAGTTTGGGCCAGGAACTTTGAAGCCATCTGCGTGTCTGTTTGTGTGTGTGGTGCTATAGGTTTTTAGGGTGATCCGTGTGGGCTGTATATATATATTTTTTTTTGGGGGTGGGGGGAAGACCCGAGGGGTTTGTTGGCATTTGTATTTTTGTAAGAGATTCAGCTCAATCTTATGCAGATTTTGAGAGCACAAATGATACTACCTTGTCGGTGGAAATCCCTTTTACCACCTATGTCACTAGTAATTTTAGTGCAAGTTTCATTTTGGTTAGGCCTCACCAAAGAGCCCAGATTCTAATGGGTCGCTCACGATCCCTACACATGGTAGGGCTTGGATAGCCCTCTAGCTTGGTGGGTAGGGCTTGGACCCTTTTTTTTAAAGGCGGGGGCCTGGCGAGTTGGCTTGTTAACTTGCGTGTTAGTTCGTCCATTAGCCTAATAGAATATATCCATTGGAATATAATCATTGAGTTGACCATTATTTTTGGAAAATTATAGATTCTTTCGCCCTTTAGGGACTTTCCCTTAATTTAAAATAAATAGTCTTAATTTTGCAGTTGTATTATTTATTTGAAATTTGATCTGTAATTTTTATAATGTTGATATTTGTAAATAATTGATAATTGTGTAGGTGTCAACTTAATGGGGATGTACTCAATTTGTAGTGATGCAAAATAGTTTCACCCATCAATCAATCAATTTGTAATGTAAAATTGTAACTTTTTATAAATATTTATTAAATTCAATCAATATGAATAATTTTTTTGTTAATTTATTTTTTTATTAAATTCAATCAAGTATTTTTTTTTTTAAAAAAAAAAATCTATTTTAGGCCTAATAGGCGGTCCATAAAGCCCAGCTTGTCTTTAGTTCGTTTTTGGCCCAAAAAGGTTAATCAACAGGCAGGCCATGGGCCTTAAGAAATCCTAATGAGTGGGCTCGCTTAGGTCCGTTGACTTGTTAAAACTCAGAGGCCAGACCCAAGGGCAGGTTGTGGATTGAAAAATCTCGGGCCGGGTTGGGTTAGCTCATCCCATTTTCGAGGCCTAATTTTTGCCACACAAGGGTAGAAGAATAATGATATACACAAAATATACCTAATTTAAACTCCGACCCAATAACTAAATTCCACATATATGTTATTAAGCTTTACTATGTTTTTTGCACATGAGTGCGTTCAGGGACATCGTGTAGCATTTAAAAAGTAGAAATATCCTGACACAACATACAATGTTTTCTTTGACTGTTTCAGAGGCTGTTATGTATTCAGCCTCCATAGTAGAATCAATAATACAAGATTACTTGATACTCCTCCAACTTATGGCTCCACCTCTCAGAGTAAACAGATATCTTGAGATAGATTTCTTGGAATTTTTATCTGACTGAAAATCAGAGTCTGTGTACCCAAGGGGTATAAGACTATTTATCTGGTAAACCAATATATAATTTCTCCTCTTTTTAAGTATTTGAGAATATATTTTATCATAGTCCAATGTCATTTTTAGGTACATGAGGGAAGCCTAGTGCTCTGTGGCTGGAAATGAGAGTTTACCTTGACATATTTACAAGAAGAGTGACACCTTTAAGTTTGGACAAAGCATGGAGCCCTTGACAATTGATAAAATACTACAGGAACCCTCTAGATTTTGTATTATGAAGTTTATGCTCTAAATTCCAAATATGCTGCTACTTCCATTTTTCTGGGGTATATTACGCATCAAAAAATTATGGGGTATAATGGTAATTCCATGCACATTTCTCGAAACTTTGACAAGGGATCTCATGCCATTTTCTCAAATCTCACAAGGAATCTATTTTGTATTGTCAAATATCATTGTGTCAACATAATTTACCTTTACCAAAATGTTTCTAAGCACGGATGGACTTTATTCAAATTTCTGGCAACTATGAATCCTATGCCATAATTTTTCACACCAACAAACACCCACACCAATGCACGATGAGAATGTACATGCATCTTATGCTTATCAAGAGAGCAAGCATTGACACAAACATTGGCTTGGTCGTTTCCAGGTGAATCACGAATACTTCAATGAAGGTATCATCCAAGTTTAGGCTAAGAAGAGAGCAAGCTTAAATTACTACGCACAGATTTTCACTTGTGATGAGTCGTGCAAGTTTGGGCCAAGAACTTTGAAGCCATCTGGTGTCTGTTTGTGTGTGTGTGTTGTTGGTTTTTAGAGTGATCTGTGTGGGTTGTATTTTTTTGGGTTGGAAGGGGGGGGGGGAGGAATGAAGAGCTGAAGGGTTTGTTGGCATTTGTATTTTAGTATGAGATTAAACTCCAGCTTATGCAGATTTTGAGAGCATAAATGATACTACCTTGTCGGTGGAAATCCCTTTTTACCACCTATGTTACTAGTAATTTTAGTGCAAGTTTCATTTCGGCTAGGCCTCACAAAAGAGCCCAAATCGCAATGGGCCACCCATGACCCGTACACGTGGTAGGGCTTGAGCAACCCGCTAGCCTGGCTAGTAGGGCTTAGCCCCTTTTTATAAATGGCAGGGGCCTGGCGGGCCGGCCAATTAAGAAGCTNAATGTTTCTAAGCACGGAT